TTATTAACATTTTTCTCTTCTCAGCAGAATCTGTTTTACAATCAGAAGTGGAGTGGCAAGAAAGTTTAAACAGCAATGCAGCAGCAATTCTTCTGGATTTTCAGAGTTTTTCTGGCTCTCCACTAAGCAGATTAAAACTTTCTCAATGACACCAAAAAGGGTCCCCATGATAGGATATCCCCATAGAAGGTAATACATGAACCGTGAACTTCCAGATGTTCCAGCTGGTTTCAGAAAAGGCAGAGAAACCAGAGATCAAATTGCCAACATCCGCTGGATCATCGAAAAAGCAAAAGTTCCAGTAAAACATTTATTTCTGCTTTATTGACTATGCCAAAGCCTTTGACTGTGTGTATCACAATAAACTGTGGAAAATTCTGAAAGAGATGGGAATACCAGACCACCTGACCTGCCTCTTGAGAAACCTGTATGCNCAATACTTTGGCCACCTCATGCAAAGAGTTGACTCATTGGAAAAGATCCTGATGCTGGGAGGGATTGATGGCAGGAGGAGAAGGGGACGACAGAGGATGAGATGGTTGGATGGCATCACCGACTTGATGGGCATGAGTTTGAGTAAACTCCAGGAGTTGGTGATGGACAGGGAGGCCTGGTGTGCTGCGATTCATGGGGTTGCAAAGAGTCGGACACGACTGAGCGACTGAACTGAACTGACTGATAGAAGGTAAAACAAAACTAGAATCAAGCCTGGAGATTCTAAAAATCAGACCCTAATATTAATAGCAGCAGTTTTCTAGGTTCATTTAAACAGTCCGTCAGTGAAAGTGTGTGTTAGTTGCTCAGTCGTGTCCGACTCTTTGCGACCCCATTAATCTCAGCACGCCAGGCCTCCCTGTCAATCACCGACTCCAGGCTCCCAGGTCCATGGAATTCTCCCGGCAAGAAAACTGGATTGGGTTGCCATTTCCTTCTCCAGAGCTTTTAAACATCTCTGCCACTAGATGGCACTATATAGACACCTTTATTTTCAGTTTTCCTATCTCAACGAAATCGGAAGGAGGCAAAATATTAAGTAAGGGAATCCATTCAGTCCTTGAAATTGCTATCATTTATTAATTTAACTAAATCTTTAAATTATAAGCCTAAACACCTTGTAACCAATTTGCCAATACCTTAATTCTCTAACAACAAGTACAGTTCCATTGATGAGAGATTGGCTCAAAAGCAGCTTTAGATGTGTTATTTGGAAGCTAGCAAACTGAATAATAAGAAGGTCAGAAAATTGATAATACGTGAGAGGGCATATAGGAAAAAAGAAATACATTTAAAAGAAATTGTCTAATCTTGACTTTTCTTTGGTTTCCATTAAAACTCCCAGTGCCTCAGAAGATTGTCAGTTTAATATTCCATCAGTAGGGCTGTAATTTATTCTTTTGTTAGACGATGAGGATTGGAGACGAAAAGGCCCATGCTAGCTAGCAGGAGACACTGGAAGAGATTATATATGCAAATCATTCCATTGCTCTCTACCAGCAGAAGGTTTGTCTTGTAATATTTCTTTTAAGATGCACAGAGAAATCTTTGGTTGTTTGCCAAAAAGCAGAATTGGGAGGTTAAAAAGAAGAGGAAGAAAGGAAGAGACGATTTGAAAGGAGCATGCAAAGCTGTGATGAACAGTCAGAAGATGTGTGATAACTGCAGTGTCTGTGATTTCTTTTTTTTTTTTAAGAGCTGAGAATGGAGAGGATCTGGGGGTGGGTGAGGAATGCAAAGCAGTTTGGAGAAGCAAGGTTAAGTGTATTCAGGCCTGGGGAATTGAGGACATCTGGTCAGATACAGACCAAAAGTAACCTGGGAGGCCAGCAGTAGGCAGCCATAACCCAGGTCACCTGCCTTCCTAACCAAGGATGGCTACCTCTTGATCCTCCTTCCCAGGAGCAGACAGCCGCATCCCATAGACTGGAGGTGCCAGATGCTGCTTCTTTGCCCGAAAAAGACAAGTGGAAACTGAGACAGAATTTTAAAGACATCAAAGAGCCTGAGTGAATTATGGCATCCCTGTAGCTGGCCGCTCTACTGGTCCAGGAAGGTCAGGCAGGATGAAGAGGAAGGAGTTGGGAGACTCTGGTAGGGATGGGAGTAGGGAGTGAGAGAGGGCTGGTTTGAATGAGCTTTCTTCTTCCTCTAGCATAGAATCAGTAAACTTGATTGTCTTTGTACTTGAGCTTACAAACATTGGCTGCTCTCTGAAAAGGTCACCCTGCTATTCAGGCAGAATTTGTGACTCTCAGCAGCTGGGAATACCTTGGAACCAAAGAGAACCTATTAGGAGAGGAAAAAAAAAAAAAAACTCAATTGCTAAGCCAAAATATGGGGAAAAGATTAACCTCTAAAGGTTTTTTCTTTAATTGTAACAACACAACATTTCTCTTTGACTCATAACCTTAATAAATTCTGCTTATCATCTGCAATAATTCTAAGTTATTCTTAAGACACTTTTTTATTATTAGAAAAGCGTTTCATGTTAGTTTAAATTACTTTAGGAAACAGATGCCCTATTCCACCACTAGAAGTTATGGAAAAATCCATAGGAGGACATGTTTTATTCTCCCTAATGAAGAAAAAACCTAATAAAGGATTGCTGAATTTTGGAGAGGGGGGAGCTGTGTTTATACCCACAATAAAATGTTAGGCTGGTACATCAGAAAAGCCTTGGTTCATTTATTTTGACACAAGCATTCGAAATAATTTAGTTTCCTTGGTAAATGGTCTGTGGAGCTCTTCGAAGTGTTGTTAGCTAAAATATTATTAATGTGAATTCACTCAACACATCTCATATTTTTGCTGAGAAGTGAGATGTGAACATTGCGTTTATGGGAGCACAAATTGGATGAGGGGAGCAGAGAGAGGCACAGGGATGAACAAACAGCGGGGTTGAATTTATGAAGTTCTGCCCCCAGTGGCTCAGCGGTGAAGAATCTGCCTGATGCAGGAGCCGCAGGAGATGCAGGTTCGATCCCTGGGTCAGGAAGACCCCTGGAGGAGGGCATGGCAACCCACTCCCAGTGTTCTTGCCTGGAGAATCCCATGGACAGAGGAGTCTGGAGGGCTACAGTCCATGGGGTCACAAAGAGTTGGACGTGACTGAACATGAGCACCTCTAGAATAGTACTGCAACACAGAAAGGATGGGGAAAGAAAGAAAGAAAACTTGTCATTCTCTCCATACATTTCTCCATTCATTTAAGTGTGAAACAAACATTCATGTCCTCATGGAGGATCCTCCAAGAGATCTTCCCAACCCAGGGATCAAACACATGTCTCATGACTCCTTCATTGGCAGGCAGGTTCTTTACTACTAGCACCAGCTGGGAGGCTCTGAGGGCACTTTTTAAAAATTGAGGTACAGTTAATTTACAATTTTGTGTCAGTTTCAAGTGTACAGCAAAGTGATTCAGTTATGTGTGTGCATATGTGTGTGTGTGTATATATATATGTACATATATACACTTTTTCAGATTCCTTTCCATTATAGGTTATTACAAGATATTGAGTATAGTTCCCTGTGCTGTACAATAGGTCCTTGTCGTTTACCTATTTCATACAGAGTAGTACATATATGTTAATCCCAAACTCCTAATTTATTGCTCTAAGGGCATCTTGAATTGTCTGTCTCTTATTCATTCATGGATCACCAGAAGCTGTCATTGTATCTGGTCCATAGTAGGTGAGCAATAAAGGAGCAAAAGAAAATGTTGAAAATACGGAGGAATTCATTCACAAGCCTTTCATCAGACTGACATAGACATCAGAGGCACTGAATTTAATGAGGAGATGCTCATAATAAGAACATAGACTTAGTAAGCACTCTGTATTATTTTATTTAATCCTCACAACAAACTTCACAAAGTTTGAATCATCCCATGAAGGAGGAAATAAAAGGTCAGAGAGATGAAGTAATTGTCCAAAGTCACAGAGTTCATGAGAGGCACAGTCCAAGCTGGTTTCATATTCCATTTCATCTCACCGGCTTTTATCTGGGGACAGAGGCTTTTGATGTGGACAAAAAAAGCAGGAGTTTGAAAAACTACCTCCAGTATATATTAGTGATGAAGGATGGGGATATGCTGAGAAGGGTATACATTATGACTAAAAGAATTTGTGGGGACTTCCCTGGTGGTCCAGAGGCTAAGACTCCACACTGCCAAGGCAGTGGGTACAGGTTCAATCCCTGGTCAGGGAACTAGATCCCACATACTGCAACTAAGAATTTGCATGTCGAAACTCAGACCCAGTGTAACCAAATAAATAAACAAATATTAAAAAAAAAAAAGAATTTGTGGAACCAACCAGTTCCAAGGCTCCCTTTAAATGAGATATTAAACATGACTTTCTCAAAGTTCTCATCAAGGATATACGTTCTTTATTTCTATAAGAAAAACTTTTGAAAAGTGAAGAAAACATCTTATCTTGCTAGTCTCTAGAATAATCTGGAAGTTTTACCCATCTCAAAAACAGTATTCAATTATCGTGAGAGCCTTTTAAAATACCCACGAAAGTTTTCTCTGACAGCGCAATCATTACGTTCCAAGGTTGTGAAAAAAGTCCTGTCCTGTGTGCTGTCATGTCTGACTCTGCAACCCCATGGACTGTAGCCTGCCAGGCTGCCCTGTCCATGGACTTCTCCAGCAAGAATACAGGAGTGGGCTTCCATTTCTGCCTCCATTTAAAAAACTATTAACCTTCTAATATATTTGATAATCACATACTGATATGTACTAAGTATAATAAGAAAAAAAGTTTTTCTTAATGTTTAATATCCACTTTTGACACTTTGACTTCTAGGATGAAATAATGTAAATCAAAGATAGCTATCAATTTAATTAAAACTGAGTTTTCTAATATTGAGATTAGTTGACAGTGATATCAAAGGCAGAGCTGGTTAATTTACATTGATATTGGTACAAAAAAATTTTTATAAACATTTATACCTCTCGCTTTTCAGAGATCTTTCAATATGGAAAGGGAACGAGATCAAAAGATAATGGAAAGCACATTGGTTCTAACAGAAAGAATTAATCTGAAAAGAACGGAAGGTACAGAGACTCAGTTAACTCCAGCTGTGCCAAACCACGTGGGACGGAACCAGCGTTAACTGTCACCTTCGCTTAGGTTTACGCAATGTCCCTCGCTGCTAGCACAGTTAGTACGTTCATTTAACCTAAGTTCGCTCCATCCATACGCACGCAGCAGTCAACAGTGAGGTAAGGAGGAGGCCAGTGCAGCTTTCTAACAACCAGGCAGATTTCTATAGCAGCTTCCTGCCAGTCTCAAGCTCAGCTGTACCAAAGGGCTTCGGTTCCCCTCTACCCCTCCCACCTGCGACCTCACCTCCATCCCTTCACAGTGGACACAGAATAGGAAGAAAAGTCTCTGATCCTTCTCAGATCTATTTTAGGCACATGGATCAATACATACTGAACACCAACTTTAAGAAGCTACAGAGACCTTTACCTTCTTTTATATTTTTCCAATATTGATCATTCTTTATTTCCTATATTCAGGGCAAGTATGGGACAGGTAGAAGGCTGCAAGAAAAGTGGTCCTGTGGAATTCACAAAAAAAACAAAAATAGAGACTTCCCTGGTAGTCCAGTGGTTAAGACTTCAGGATTTCAATGCAGGGGGGTATGGGTTTGATCTCTGGTTGGAGAACTAAGATCCCACATGTTGTGTGGCACACCAAAAAATAAAAAATAATACAAGAAAGTAAGGGACTTCCCTGGGTATCCAGTGGTTAAGACTCCACACTTCCACTGCAGGGGAGCATGTGTTGATCCTCGGTTGGGGAACTAGATTCCACATACCACACAGTGAGCCAAAAAAAAAAAAAAACCCTGTTGGTGTATCATGAAAATGCACAGTAGGCATGAATAGTATTGGATCTAGAATTGAGGGCATTGCTATGATCTGAAGATCTTTAGGAAACTATAACTGTGTTGAATGTGTTCTAGTAAAACCATGAGAGAAGCAAATTTAAGAGATAATAATAGCTAAGATTTATTGAGTAGTTTCTATGTATCAGGCATTTTCTTACAGGCTTTATTTTATTTAATTTTCACAATCCCATCCTGAGGGGGTACTACCATTATCCCTATTTTACAGATAAAGAAGTGAGGCACAGAAAGGTAAATTGTCTAGCATCACACACTCAGTAAATAGTAGAGTACTTATACTCAGGGTAGACTGATACAAGAGGCCATGCATCTATTTAGTCTCTATACAAAGAAGTCTATACAAGATTGAAGGCAGGAGGAGAAGGGGACGACAGAAGATGGGATGGTTGGATGGCAACACTGATTCAATGGATGTGAGTTTGAGCAAGCTCCAGGAGTTGGTGATGGACAGGGAAGCCTGGTGTGCTGCAGTCCATGAGGTCACAAAAAGTCAGACACAACTCAGTGACTGAACTGAGCAACAAAGTCACATAATCAGGGTAGACACCTCAGTGAATTAAAAAAATGAACTCCAGGGCAGGAATAAGTCCTTGCATATGGTCAAATGATCTTTGACAAAGATATCAAGAACCCTCAATGAGAAACTCTCTCTTCAACAAATGGTGCTGGGAAGACTGGATATCCACACACAAAAGAATGATGTTGAAGCATCATCTTATACCATATACAAAAGTAAATTCCAAATGGATTAAAGACCTAAATGTAATACCCTAGGGACTCCCCTGGTGGTCTAGTGGTTAAGAATCCGCCTTGCAACACAGGGGATGCAGGTTCGATTCCTAGTCGGGGAACTAAGATCCCACATGCCATGGGGCAGCTAAACCCATGTGCCACAACTAGGAGCCTTCATGCTGTAACTACTGAGCCCGCATGCCATAACTAGAGAGTCCGAGTGCTGCGATGAAAGATTCCGCATGATGCAACGAAGGCCCTGCCTGCTGCGACTAAGACCTGACAGCCAAATAAATAAATAAAAAATAAATGTATTACCCCAAACTATAAAACTCCCAGAAGAATTTGGGAATATAGGGGAAAGTCTTCCTGACAATGTATTTGGCAATGATTTCTTGGATGTGATATCAAAAACACAGGCAACAAAATAAAAAACAGACAAATGGGACTACATCAAACTTTAAAACTCCTGTGCATCAAAGGATACAGTTAAAAAGGCAATCTAGAGAATGGGAGAAAATATTTGCAAATAATATATCTAATAAGGAGTTAATATAAAGAACTCTTATAACTCAATGACAACAATAACAACAACAAATAACTCTTTAAAAAATAAAGGACTTAAAGAGACATTTTTACAAAGATAATATACAAATGACCAACAAGCATATAAAAGATGCTCAATATCACTAATCATTAGAGAAATGCCAATCAAAACTACAATGAAATATCACCTCACACATATTAGGATGGCTACAACTGAAGAAACAGAAATAGAAAGTGTTGGTGAAGATATGCAAGGTTGGAACACTTGTGCACAGTTGGTGGGATTGTAGAATGGTGCGGCTGGTAAACAGTTGTGGTTCCTTAAAACATTTAACATAGAACTATTATATGCTCCAGCAATCTAGGTATAAATCCAAAAGAATTCTAAAATAATTGAAAGCAGGGTCTCGAAGAGATGTTTGCACATCCATGCACATATCAGCTCTGTTCACAATAGCCAAGAAGTAGAAGCAGCACTAACATCCATTAATGGATGAACAGATAACCAAAATGTGGCATATACATGCAGTTGAATATTATTTAGTCTTAAAAAGGAAAGAAATCTTGTCACAAGAAATGCTACAGCATGGGTGAATCTTGAAGACATTATGTGAAGTGAAATAAGCCAGTCACATAATGACAAATACTGTATGATTCCACTTAGAGTGGTCAAATTCATGGAAATAGAAAGTAGAAGGGTGGTTACCAGGCAATGTTTGGGAATGGGGTGGTGGTGGATCTGGCAGTTGTCTAATAGATACAGAGTTTCAGTTTTTTAGAATGAGATGTTCTGGAAATCTGTTGCACAGAGACATTCTAGAAAACTGTTGCACAACAATGTAAATATAGTTGACATGACTAAACTGTACAGTTAAAAATGGTTAAGGTGGTGAATTTTGTGAGAGATATATGCCACAATTAAAGAAGCAAACACACTGGAGACACTGGCTAGCGGAAAGGCATATATCGACACTTTTCTTCTATGATTTCTAAGATCTATTCCCGCGCTGATGTTCTTTTGCAATATCCCAAATTGTGCATGGTGATCCCTTATCTCTTTGCAGAACCTCTTTCTAAAGTAATCAGTGTTCACAATCTCCAGTCCTATCCTGTAGTACTATTTAGAGTCTTGATTCTTCTGAGTCCATCATCTGACAACTTTGCAAATAATGAGTCTCAGATTTATCAGATAAACCAATCATGTTAACATACCATCTCACTAAAACAGTACTGAGTCCCTTAAGCCAGAGATATACAGATTGACTATGCCAAAGCTTTTGATGGTGTGGATCACAACAAACTGTGGGAAATTCTGAAAGAGATGGGAATACCAGACCACCTGACCTCCCTCTTGAGAAATCTGTATGCAGGTCAGGAAGCAACAGTTAGAACCAGACATGGAACAACAGACCAGTTCCAAATAGGAAAAGGAGTATGTCAAGGCTGTATATTGTCACCCTGCTTATTTAACTTATATGCAGAGTACATCATGAGAAATTCTGGGCTGAAAGAAACACAAGCTGGAATCAAGATTGCCGGAAGAAATATCAATAACCTCAGATCTGCCAATGACACCACCCTTATGGCAGAAATTGAAGACCTAAGGAGCCTCTTGATGAAAGTGAAAGAAGAGAGTGAAAAAGTTGGCTTAAAGCTTAACATTCAGAAAACTAAGATCATGGCACCTGGTCCCATCAATTCATGGCAAATAGATGGGGAAACAGGGGAAACAGTGGCTGACTTTATTTTGAGGGGCTCCACAATCACTGCAGATGGTGATTGCAGCCATGAAATTAAAAGATGCTTACTCCTTGGAAGGCAAGTTATGACCAACCTAGACAGCATATGAAAAAGCAGAGACATTACTTTGCCAACAAAGGTCCATCTAGTCAAGGCTATGGTTTTTCCAGTAGTCATGTGAGAGTTGGGACTATAAAGAAAGCCAAGTGCCGAAGAATTGATGCTTTTGAACTGTGGTGTTGGAGAAGACTATTGAGAGTCCCTTGGATTGCAAGGAGATCCAACCAGTCCATCTTAAAGGAGATCAGTCCTGAATATTCATTGGAAGGACTGACGCTGAAGCTGAAACTCCAATACTTTGGCCTCCTGATGCGAAGAGCTGACTCATTGGAAAAGACCCTGATGCAGGGTAAGATTGAAGGCAGGAGAAGGGGAAGACAGAGGATGAGATGGTTGGATGGCATTACTGACTCAATGGACATGAGTTTGGGTAAACTCTGAGAGTCGGTGATGGACAGGGAAGCCTGGCGTGCTGCAGTCCATGGGGTTGCAAAGAATCGGACACAACTGAGCGACTGAACTGAACTGAATACAGATGTATCCAGCAGGATACCCTCAGATAATCAAAATATCTGAGAAGGAAATGTCCTATTGAAGGAAATTTTTTGTTAGGAAGTAGGGGCAGGAAGGAAGAGTGTTTTGCCTCTCAAATAATTGAGTGGCTTTTCAGTCCACCAAGAGGAACATCAGGCCAGGGAAGAAACAGTGTTCCTGGAAGAGAAAATAATACTTGGGGATTCAGGGAAGATGGCAAAGACAAAGAATGTTCCCAGGAGAGCTGAAAATAGAGTCTGGTTGTTGGTCAATTAATTTAGGCCTCATTAACAGTCAGCACTGACTAGATGGTATTACCTTCTTTCTTTACAGATGCCAGGTCATTACTTTTGGAGCTGGGTTTTTCCCTCCTATCTTTGCATGCCCAGGACATTGCACCAAATGAGACTGTCATGCAGGATTGTGTTACAAGGGAGCAGTGGAAGAATGAGAAAGATAGTAAGGAGGCTAGAAGATCCAGTGTGGAGGGCACATTCCTCCCTGCCCAAGATGAGAAAGATGAGAATGATCTAATAGAGAGAAACAAGATGATGATCACTAGCAAAGATCTCTCCCTTAGCAACCACAAAGAGAGATTTTCTCTCCCCAGCTTCCACAGGCAACTGTTTCTTTTGTTCACTGGCTTCCAAGAAGGTGATAAATGAATAGATTACAGCCAGAGAAATGGAATAAGGCCTTCTAGACAGAAGAGATGATGATCCTACAGGCTCAAAGCCAAGAGGAAACTAAATCAGTGTGTTATTTCAACAAAGGCTCTGTTAATCTTTAAAGTTCTTGCTTTCATGTTAAAGCAAGATCAATCATCAGTCTCTTTCTGCTATTTTGCATAATGCAAAGTCATATGATTTGATGATAGACTTTTTTTTCTGCCTTTTTTCTTGTATCCCTTCAGAACACAAAGTTGCATATTCTTAGCATAATAAATGGATATACATGAACACATGTGGAAACCACGTTTCATTTATAAACAAATAAAGTTCACATGTGGAACTTTAGTCATTTGATTGGAACCTGGAATGACTGTATGTATAAAAATGTTAGAATTTAATGTTTTTAAAATTATTGTCCCATGAGGTCTTGGTGTCCCACAAGGAACTCTCACAGAAAAATATAAGAGCAATAACCTTTCTCCAATTTTCAGGGTAATGTAATTATTGGATACTATTTTCCTGGCTTTAAAGGGTTTCCTTCATATATTCTCTCTCAATAATACAGGAACATTTGAGAGCTAACTGTGAGATAAGTGTTTTGAACACATCATCTTATTTAAATCTTCACAAGGATCTTATTTTATAGATGGAGAAACCCAAATGACTAATTTCCCTCCAGGCTACTCCAATAAGTGGAAGAGTTAGGTTAGTGGATTTAAACCAGTCCACAAATTTTTTCACATTTCTCCCACTGAGAGGTAGGCCTCCTTCCCTGGAAACTGGGCTGGCCTTAGTGACTCACTTGTAAGAAACAGAATCCATGGAAGTGACACTGTGTAACTTCCGAGGCTGGGTCAGAACAGGTCATGCAGCTTCTGACTGGCTCTTTTGTGATGCCTGTTCTGGTAGAAGCTAACTGGCATGGAAGAAATCTGACCATCCTGAGACCTCTATGCAAGAGAGGCCACACATAGGCACTCTGGTCGTCAGCTCACCATTTACATTTCCAGCACATGGAGAAAAACGAACCCTCCTACACTGTTGGTGGGAATGTACTGGGTTGGTCAGAAGTTTCATTCAGGTTTTTCTATAACATCTTATGGAGAAACCCAGATGAATTTCTTGGCCAACCCAATAAACTGGTGTAGCCACTGTAAAGAACAGTATGAAGGTAACTTAAAAATACTAAAAACTAGTTACCATATGACCCTGCAATCTCACTCCTAGACATACATAAGGGAAACAAAAACTCATTTCAAAAAGATACATACACCCCAGTGTTCATAGTAGAACTATTTACAATAGCCAAGACATGGAAGCAACCTACATGTCCATTGACAGATAAATGGATTAAGAAGATGTGACGTGAAATATTCAGTTCAGTTCAGTTCAGTTGCTCAGACATGTCCGACTCTTTGTGACCCCATGAATCACAGCACACCAGGCCTCCCTGTCTATCACCAACTCTCAAAGTTTACTCAAACCCATGTCCAACAAGTCAGTGATACCATCCAACCATCTCATCCTCTGTCGTCCCCTTCTCCTCCTGCCCACAATCCATTCAGCATCAGGGTCTTTTGCAATGAGTCAACTTTTTGCATGAGGTGGCCAAAGTACTGGAGTTTCAGCTTCAGCATCAGTCCTTCCAATGAACACCCAGGACTGATCTTTAGGATGGGCTGGTTGGATCTCACAGCCCAGCATTTCTCATGATGTACTCTGCATATAAGTTAAATAAGCAGGGTGACAATATACAGCCTTGACGTACTCATTTTCCTATTTGGAACCGGTCTGTTGTTCCATGTCTGGTTCTAACTGTTGCTTCCTGACCTGCATACAGGTTTCTCAACAGGCAGGTCAGGTGGTCAATGAAATATTACTCAGCCATAGAAAGAATGAAATAATGCCATTTGCAGCAACATGGATGGACCAAAGACAGAGAAAGACATCTATATATATATATATATATATCACTTATATGTGGAATCTTAAAAAATGATACAAATGAACTTCTTTACAAAACAGAAATAAACTCACAGATCCAAAAGACATAGAAAATGAACTTATGGTTACCAAAGGGGGTGTGGGGAGGGTTAGAGATAAATTAGCAGTTTGAAATTTATATATACACATTTGTTGTTGTTGTTGAGTTGCTAAGCCTTGTCCAACTCTTCTGAGACCCCAAGGACTGTAGCCTGCTAGGCTCTTCTGTCTGTGGGATTTCCTAGGCAAGAATACTTGAGTAGGTTGCCATTTCCTTCTCCAATATATACACACTACTAACATAACACAGAAAACCAACAAGGGCCTACTGCTACTCAATATCTTATAATAACCTATAATGGAAATCTGAAAAAGAATACATGTATATACACACATATATATGACTGAATCACTTTGCTATATACTTGAAACTAACACAACATTGTAAATTAACTATACTTCAGTAAAAACATAAATTTCCAGCACAGCCAAACCTTCAGTTACCTGCAGCTCAAGATCAACTGCAAACATATGAGACTCCGAGTGAGAACTTCTGGTTGCTAGGTTAGAGTTGGGGTGACTCTTATGCAGAAATAATAACCAGAACAGCCAGTAGTAGAACCCAGGTCTGCTGGACCCTAACACTCATCTTAAGCTATACATCTCACTATGTTCCTTAAACATTTGCTACTGTTACTACTTTTCCACACTCTAGTATGAGATTCAGTGTAGTATATATTCACCGTCCCTTAACAAACCAGAAGATCACTACTTTATAAGTTAACAGTCAAGCTCTCATTCACTCACCAACATTTACTGAATGCCTACCATATGCCATGCAGTGTAGAAACTGCTGTAGATACAAAAATAAGTATGAGCCTCATCTTCTAGTCAATTATGTGCATGCTAAGTCACCTCATCATCTCTGCGACCCTAGGGACGGCAGTCTGCCAGGCTCCCCTGTCCATTGGATTCTCCAGGCAAGAATACTGGAGTGGGTTGCCATGCTCTCCTTCAGGGACTCTTCCCAACCTGGGGATCAAATCTGCATCTCTTACGTCTCCTACACTGGCAAGTGTTTTTTTTTTTTTTTTTTAGCTACCTGGGAAACCCCAATCCATGATGGGGAGTGGGGCTGGAAAAAAATGGGAAAAAATGCACATATAAAACAAATGGGACAATAAACTAAGAAGAATTCTTTAGTGGAGGAAAGCACAAAAGAGATGCTGCTTGAGCAGTTTAGAATTTTGGAGGTGACTGGAGGGAGGAGGGGAGGAGAACAGAGAAGGGAAAAGACCCTTGGTCTAGTTCATCCACTAACCTCAAGTTCTTACTCCAAGATTCCTTGAGCTCTGACCAGCCAGAGAAAGATGGTCTCCTGGAAAAGCAGTCCTGGAGGGATGTTGAGCTTGATATAGTCCAGAGGTAAATATCATATGCTTTTCCATCAGGAAGAGTTTCTGATTTAAAGATTGCCTACATTGCGTCTACCAGGCATTGACTTTGGATAAAGACATTTTCTCTCTCTCTTTCTCCTATAAAAGAGTTGTAATGGTTCTAACTCCTAAACTGATTGTTGTTTCAGAATAATAACTATGGAGATTCCTGATTTCCCTGCTAGGAAAAAAACAAAAATGCTTCAGGGAAGGAAATTATCATTATTCCATAGTATAGGTCTACATATTGAGTATAAGGAAAACATCTATTTTGTTCAAGAAGTGAGCTCTGCTCAAGGGAGCTATTTTTAACACATTGCATCTCTTGCTTAATGAAGTAAGCTTTTCTCATAAACTTATCCTGTTCATGTAGCCTCCCACAACTAGCGGCTGTCCTGTTTATTTAGTTAACAAGTTAGTAATTTTGTCACTGTTTTTATTTGCTTACTTAAAAAAAAAAATCTGCCCAGCCTCCTTCTGTTTTGGAAACTCTTTGGGGAACAGTTGGGGCTGCTGATGGTACCATCTTACCTGGCTTACTAGGAGTGAGCCTCTGACTTAGGCTGGCCAATGAGAACATTGTATTTGGCTCAAACACTGTGGTTGGTTCAGGATGGGCACATGATCCAAGCTGAGTCGCAGGTCTTTCACGGATCCACATGGATGGTCAGGGAGACAGCCTTATTTGTTTGAGGTTGTGAGCCATAGGATTATGTAAATCTGATTCTGTCAAGACTCACCTTCTCTATTACATGGACACAACCAGCCTGCAAGTTAAAGCCAACACCTCCCTGCCCTTGGGGCGTGGTGGGGGGGGGATTGGTAAAGGAATGATTCCTGGAAACTTTGTTTAAGTGGTTCTATGCTGGCAGTCACCAGTCCTTGAAGTTTTAGGTTAATTAAGTCAGTCCCCCCACCCCCCTTAAGCTAGAAATTGAATTGGGTTTCTGTCACTTCCAACTGAGAGTTGTGGCTAATCAAATTTACCCTTGTATATAGTTCTCTTTTGGGGATCCTGGACCCAATTCCAAGGGGAGGGACTAGGAGACTTCCCACACAACACCAAGTAATCCTTATATAACAGCTGGTGGGCTGCGAATTCAACACAATTCTAATCTCTATTTACCTGGAGACAGCATCAGATTCCACAGGGCAAGGGTTCTGTCCTACCAGACTTCTCCGACCCCATACCCCCTCCCCCACCCCAAAAAGGAAAATCCACACACAGACACACGCATTCCAGATGCCAGTCACGAACGCAGGCTGATACTGGTATTTCTGACTGGCCATAGATCACAGGTTCCTAAGACTCCCCTCCTCAGGTTCAATTAATTTGCTAGAGTGGCTCATAGAACTCAGAGAAACATTTTACTTACTAGATTACTTACGTTTACTTACTGAACCCAGGGATCAAACTGGAGTCTCTTAGGTCTCCTGTATTGGCAGGTGGATCCTTTACCACTAGGGCTTTGCTGATAGCTCAATTGGTAAAGAATCCGCCTGCAATGTGGGAGACCTGGGTTCAATCCCTGGGTTGGGAAGATCCCCTGGAGAAGGGAAAGGCTACCCACTCCAGTCATTCTGGCCTGGAGATTCCATGGACTATCCATGGGGTCTCAAAGATTCAGACACAGTTGAGCGACTTTCACTTTTCTTTACCACTAGTGCCACCTGGAAAGCCCAATGCAAAAAAAGTACGGGACAGGGCACTGGGCTTCCTGGGCCCTGTCAGAAGCACATTCTCCCAGCACCTCTATGTGTTTGCTTACCAATCCAGAAGCTTCCAAATCCTGTCCTTCTGGATTTTTTATGGAAGCTTTCTCACACAGACACGTCTGACTAAATCACTGGCCACTGACAATTGATTGAAACTCCAGGAAGTGGGACTCAAAGTTCCTATCCTCTAATCATGTTGTTGGTTCTCCTGGCAACCAGCCCCTGACCTCAGGTGCTTTCCAAAAGTCACCCCATTTTCACAACAAAAGACACCTTTATGATGTCCAACACTTAGGACAGAAGTCTTGGGGAACTGTAAACCACGAACTATGGATGAAGGCCAAGTGTAATGAGAAATAATTTCAGTCATCTGAATGACCAACTATCTATTTCTTAGCAATCATAATATCACAGATTCAGAACTCTGGAAACAACTTTAACCATCCATGCTTTATACCATCTCACTATCCTCCTCCTAAACTCCCTGGCACACTCATTCTATGTCTTGTGGTTGTTAGGTGCAAAGGTGCTGAACACAGACAAAACTGGGTTTTCAGCTCTACCATGTACAAGTGGTATGTCTTTGAGCAAATCAGTGGTTTCCTCAAATCTTCTCTCTCTGTAAAATAGAGATTTAAAAAATTTTTAGTTTAAAATAGAGATATTGAAGCATGCATCTTCCACATTTAGTTTGAGGTGAATAATTTAAAGCACTCAGCTCAGGACCTCTTTTGCAGGCTATCCTAGACAGCAAAAAAAAAAAAAAAAAAAAAATGTGAAGGGGAGCTTGGGCAACATGTATTGTGTTGGCCAAAAATTTAATTTCCTTTGGGTTTTGCCATGCCATCCATGGAAAAATCCAAAGGAAGTTTTTGGCCAACCCAATACATCCGAGGGTACCTTTCTCTTTCACTTCTCAGGTCATGTCAAAGTTAACTTCACAGAGGACAATATTCTCCTCTTAAACATTTCATGTCACTCCCTGACTCCACAGTAAACCCTGAAGACTTGCTGGTCAGGGCCATATCCTCATGCTATGATTGCTTCCGGAGTCGAGGTGGTCTCTGACCCAGTTAGGGAGTTGGGTTGAAACGAAGGCTCTTGCAGAAATTCTTCCATCACTCTCTTGGCAGTTTCAGACACAACCAGACGAAGGAGCACCAGGCAGCGGGCCAGGCTGGCTGGCAGTCCTCAGGGGCGGATACTGCAGTCCATCCTCTGCAAAGATCCAGAGCCATCCCCTCAAATTAGTATTCAGCCCTGAGGAAAGAATCAACACTGCATCCTTCTCTCCAGCTTTTGGTAATCTGTTTTTGCCTCACTGATTTCCAAGAGGAATGTAAACTCTTGTCATGGTTGGTTGAGACCTTGACTTTAGAGGCAATAAAAAAGAATTTAGAGTTCAAAAGTGTACATCCTTGATTGTGTCTGACTTCTCCCAATGCTTAACTTGACTTCTGGATTGGCTGTTGCAGCTTGGTTTTCTGCTTCAAAAATTGCTTTACTATTTCTTATGATACAGAGAGTTTGGAGCTGATCCGTGGTGCAAAGGAGGTAGCCACAAGACCAAGGTGGATACCACTCAAATACTTCCCTTACACCGTGCTCTGCCCAGAACTCAGACCTTTCCCCAGGAATGGGGAGGGAGGGGAGGCCTAACCTCTGTCTCCACAACAGCTACTAGGGTGTTAGGAGGGGAAAATGTCAAGGTGAAACAAAACTTGACTCCAGTTACTTTTGCCTTCTAGGAAGTGGCCAGCAGTGGTCCGGCCAGCAGTGGTTCGGCCACCCTCCACCTTACTAAGATTCTGTTTTCAACGTTATACCAAATAAACACCCAATCTGTTTTGGTGATTCGCCATCACCCAATCCCACCTGACCTGTTCAGGGTCTGCAGACTCCTTCGCCTGGGAGTCACCCCTGCCCTCTGACTTCTGGTTGGGTTCAGCCCCTGGGAAACATCTGCAGGAGTTCAGAGGGCAAGGGGAAGGAGAGATCAGGGTACCTCTTTGGGACCTGTAACCCCTGAAACAACAGCTCCTCCTGACTCTTCCCAGCCATCAGGAGCACAGAGACGCCACTTCCTCCTCTTGTTTCTTCAGCCCTGGGGGTGAGATGCTGCCACACTCCCCCTGTCCCGGGGGCCTCAAGGATCCTTGCTAGCTTCTCTAACTTGCCCACACCTCTAGAGACAGACCCTTAATTAAATTCTCTTCCTTTTAAGCCCTTTGAGTGGAACTTTGATTTCTGCAGGACTTTGACTGATATGCAATTAAGTCAAGAGGAGTTTGTTTGCTATGCAAGCACAATTTCAAATCAGATTTTCTCAATTTCCTTTCAATTAGACTAAATCTACAGAGCTCCTGCTACACAGAACTTCTGGAACTCCCATGAGTAACGTCATACGTCCATCTGGGGGGTGGAATGGAAGTATTAGTTGCTCAGTTGTGTCCAACTCTTTACGATCCCATGGACTGTAGTCCTCGGGGCTCCTCTGTCCATGGGATTCTTCAGGCAAGAATATGAGTGGCTTGCTGTGCCCTCCTCCAGAAGATCTTCCCCACCCAAGTTCTTTTTATGAAAACATCATAATAAGATGGTTTTCTTGGTTGAGGAAGGTCCCCTTGTCATTCGCCTGGTGGGAGGGGGAGAACTTATTGGTATTTCTGGGGGAAACCTTAAAGAAGGGAGTGAATACATGAGTAAAGAGCCTGAGAAACAAAGAGAAGCAAGAAGGGTCACGAAAGGGAGGAAACTTGAGATCTGGCAGGAGAGAGGCAGTGAGAAATTCTCAGTTGAGGGAAATGGCTCAGAAGTGCCAGGGAGAATGATGCCTGAAATCAAGGTTGCTTTGTGTTCTGGGTTGAAATGACTGCTATTGTGTTCTCTTTACCCTGTCTTCTCCCACCACACCATCCCTTCCTCAGAAGATAACACAAGTTAGCTACGAGTAACAGTGAAATTAATGCTCCAGGGGCATGAAAAAGAGAGTGGAGGTACCAGACTGTGTTTGCTCAGTTGCTCAGTAGTGTCTGACTCTTTGTGACTCCGTGGACTGCAGCACGCCAAGCTTCTCTGTCCTTCACCATCTCTCTGAGTTTGCACAAACTCATGTCCATTGAGTTGATGATGCCATCCCACCTCTCATCCTCTGTCAACCCCTTCTCCTCCTGCCCCCAATCTTTCCCAGCATCAGGGTCTTTTCCAATGAGACCCAGGTGGACCCCCTCAAAGAAAATGGAGCCTTGTTCACACTGAGAGGCACGTGAGAGGGAAGGAGGTGTGGAGAAGCAGCCAACTAGGAACCCTAAGGAGAGCTGTGAGTCTTAAAAACTTCTCAGAGATGTTGAGGAATATAGATAGACTTCTTTCATCTTGGATATAAAATGATACACAATGAAATAGCCCCAGAAGGTTGGAGAGTTTAAAGATATCTTGACTAGAGCATTTGGGCTGCATTTGCATGTGTACTATTATTTAATTAATACTATAGCTGTTAACTCCATTGGCTGTTAACTCCAGCAGGCAGGAAAGTGTTAGTTACTCAGTCATATCTGACTTTTTGTGACCCCATGGACACAAGAGCCTATGAGGCTCGTCTGTCCATGGAATTCTCCAGGCAAGAGTACTGGAGTGGGTAGCCATTTTCTTCTCCAGGGGATCTTCCTGACCCAGGGATTGAACCCACATCTCCCCCATTGAAGGCAGATTCTTTACCACTGAGCCACCAGGGAAGCCATAACTCCAGAAGGTAGGAGTTATGTGCATATGGTCATAGGACACTTACATGAATCACTGAGAACAAATAATGACAATAACATTAAGATTAACCATCCCTGAAAGTGTGTTTCTGAGTATGAAACTTCTTTCTTTTTTTTGAAACTTTTACATAGGATTTCTAAAGTTGCAAGTGAATGCTTGGGTATTTACACTGACAAATGGGAAATTTTCTCTAAATGTTTAGAATGGTACCTGGCACAAAGTAATTACTGTATGTATGTTTGGTGTTTTATTGTTTCGGATGAGAAACTTCCATTAACAACTAGCTTCTTAGTTGGACAGACCATACAATTACAGTAGGATAAGAGAGAGAGAGAGAGAGATGAATAGATAGATGGATGGGTGGACAGTTAGAAGGGTTGATAGACAAATGTAAAATAAAATATTAAATATTAATATTTAATATTAATATTTAATATTAACAGCTCTTATTTCATTGTTGTTATAGTTATGACCCGGGTTTCCTTGTTCCCTTTTTGTTTTCTGCACATAAACTGTACCTTCTGATTCTCATAATGGTCATGCTGCTACCTATTTTAATAAATTCAGATTTAACTCAAGAAAACGAATGTAACTGTGTGTTTATGGTCAATTGAAAGCACTGTTGACGGAAGAGATAACATGACATTTACAGGAAAGCAGCCACAATAAGTGTTATTCTTGTCTGCTCTGTGTAGGACTGCCTTTCAAACACTTTAGATACATATGATACTTAGAGTTACTTCCTCTTATCATCCCATTTCACACAGGAGGAGACTGTGGCACAAATAAGTTAATTAACTGGTTGGAGGTTTCACAACTAGTAAGTACCAGCACTAGGATTCAAACCAAGATAGTTTGATTCCAGAGCTGAAGCCCTCAATGACTAAATTACCTAACCTGAAATCCAGAAATAACCAGTCAGGTAAACATCCCACCTTGCTCCAACTCCCTAAATATTTTATTGTCATCTTTGGGGGCACAATTCTAAAAGTGCATAAGATATAGTAACTTTTTATCACTGAATGTGGGAAGGATATCATCTATTAGGGGTGTTTAAATTTTTAATTTTATAGGAGTATGGTTTATTTACAATGTCATGTTAGCTTCAGGTGTATGTAAAGTGATTCAGTTATACAAACACATATGTTCATTCTTTTTTAGATTCTTTTCTCATATAGGTTATCACAATCTAGTAGGGATTTAACCATTCTTTCTACAGGTACTTAGTAAGCATCTATTAAGTACCAGAAACTCTTCTAGGCAGTGGGGCAATAGCTGTGAACATACAGCCAGGAATCCATCCTTCATGGTGAGTAGATTCTATTAATAGCAAAGTGGACACGGGTGAGAAACAAAACAAGCATCAATACTATGAAGAAAAGCAAATTGGAGAAGGATGAATAGACAGGGAAAACCTCCACAAGGGATCTTTGTTCAGGAGGCTATGTGGAAGGAAAGGAAATCTATGTCCCTTCCCCCTTTTAAAAAATATTTATTTAAGGAGTATGTCAAGGCTGTATATTGTCACCCTGCTTATTTATCTTATATGCAGAGGACATCATCAAAGTACTAGGCTGTATGAAGCACAAGCTTGAATCAAGATTGCTGGGAGAAATATCAATAACCTCAGATACATAGATAATATCACCCTTATGGCAGAAAATGAAGAGGAATTAAACAGCCTCTTGATGAAGGTGAAAGAACAGAATGAGAAAGCTGGCTTAAAACTCAACATTCAAAAAACGAAGATCATGGCATTCGATCCCATCATTTCACGGCAAATAGATGAGGTGAAAATGGAAACAGGGATGCATTTTATTTTCTTGGGCTCCAAAGTCACTGCAGATGGTGACTGCAGCCATGAAATCAAAAGATGCTTGCTCCTTGGAAGAAAAGCTATGACGAACCTAGAAAGTGTATTAAAAAGCAGAGATACCACTTTGCCAACAAACATCTGTCTAGTCAAAGCTATGGTTTTTCCAGTAGTCTTGTATGGATATGATACTTGGGCCACAAAGAAGGTTGAGCACTGATGAACTGATGCTTTCAAACTGTGGTGCTGGCAAAGACTCTTGAGAGTCCCTTGGACTGCAAGGAGATCCAACCAGTCAATTCTAAAGGAAATCAACCCTGAATATTCATTGGAAAGACTGAGGTGAAGTTGAAGCTTCAATACTTTGGCCACCTGATATGAAAAGTTGATTCATTGGAAAAGACCCTGATGCTGGGAAAGACTGAAGGCAGGAGGAGAAGGGGGAGACAGAGGACGAGATGGTTGGATAACATCACTGACTTGATGGACACAAGTTCCAGCAAATTCCAGGAAATAGTGATGGACAGGGAAGCCTGGTGTGCTGCAGTCCATGGGGTCACAAAGAATTGGACACAACTGAGCGACTGAACAAATTTGGCTGTGTTCTGGTCTCAGTTGCAGCTCACGAGGTCTTCATTGCAGCATGTGGGATCTTTTGCTGTGGCTGGCAGGCTCTTCATTCTGGTGAGCAGGCTTCTCTCTAGT